TTTGAAGAGTTAATTCAATCACTGAATCAGGTGTGTTAGAGCTGGAAAAGCTCTAAAACATGCAGGATAGCAGCCCTCGAGGACTGGAGTTTGACACCCCTGAGTTAGACTGTATAACACATCATGATGTTATCAGTCACTTGGACAATTCACACTGCCATCACTACTATGCACCTTCTTCATTATATGCATATGCGTTCATGTATATGTGTATATGTGCATCTGTATATGTACATTACACATGTGTATATTGTGGTTTTTTTGTTTGTTTTCTTTTAATTATCTTTCTTTATTCTTCTCACCCTCTCCTGTATTGAGCTGCAGTAATGTGCAAATTTCCCCACAGTGGGATCAATAAAGTTTTGTCTTATCTTATCTCATCTTATCTTATTTTATTTTATCTCATCTTAAAATGTATTGTGATTCCTCCCTCACCTTGAAGGAAATCCTTGATGCTATTAACTCGCTCAAAAACAATAAATCTCCTGGAACAGATGGAATTACCTCTGAATTCTATGAATGTTTCTCAGATCAGTTAGCTCCATTTTTATTACACATCTTCATAGGAAGTATTGAAAGAAATTAACTCCCTCCAACACCAACTCAAAAGATCATCAATCTATTTCCAAAACCAAATAAGGACATTCTTTACATCGATAACTGGAGGCCTATTTGCCTTCTCAATAATGATTACAAGATACTTGCCATAATATTCGCAAAAAGACTTAAAGATATACTTGAATCAATTATTGATGAAACACAATCTGGCTTTGTGAGAAATAGTCACATTTCAAACTAGAAGCGCTCGGAGAGTGCAAACCTCCACCAAGACCTATCTCCACCATGCTGTAATAGAGTTAATGCGCAAAAGCAGAGAGGGAAACACATTTGCTGAATAAGTTCTGACATAGTGAACATTTAAGCAGCAGTATGCAGGGGATTTCTTCTCGGTGGAGTCCAATGTGAACAAGCAAAAGTCAGACTGGTCACCTGTCATTATTCATCGTCAAACTGGTCTCGGATTAAGCTCCTAAATATGGGCTATTCAACTAAACTGCTCCAGGGGCCACAGTTACTGCAGGTCAACAGCTTAGGTGCTGGACATCCAGCAATTTAAGTTATGTAAATAAACCAAGTATTACAAAGATCTGTTACCTTAATAGTTTATTTTGCTGCATTTAGTCATGATTACAACATACAGAACCCTATAAAAGTAGTGATAAATAAACAATATCAAAAACAAAAAGAACACATTATACCCCCATTTGACACAAATATTGTTTTGACATCTGTGACTTGCCCAATTTTTAAACCAATTTTATTTTCACTTTGGTAGTTTTATCTTCAACTGCTTGTCATTTTTAACTGTCTTTAGTGTGCATAGAAATGGTTTTTACCAGCTTGTAGCCACGATTCTGATGGTTCTGTAGACACCAAACATGTGTATGTCTAACTAAAAGAACTTAAAGTAATTAAAGTAGAAAACTGGGGTTTGAGRTTAAGAGATGAATGAACCAATTGGCGGACGGTCCGCGGGCCGCCAGTTGAATAGCCCTGTCAAAAGTTTTCATCAGTCACATTCCACTGTGTAAAACGTCTGTTTTATTCCCTTTTATGAGTTTGTAATGGTTTGACTCTCTTTATGAAGTGCTTCCTGGTACAGTCGGCTCATGAAGGGTTTTTTTTTCTTTTTTTGTTTTTTTGAAGCGAGAAGCGAACTGTAACGTGTGAGCGCTTTCAGCAATTAAAACATTACCTCCTCCCCCTTGTCGCACACACTCACACACTGCCTGGTCTAAAAAGTTACCCGTTAGCTTCCAGAATACCGAAATGAATCTGTTCTCCTCCCGTGTCCAGACTTTGAGGGCCGGCCAGAAGCTCTCTGTTTACTAGTACCGAGAAACTGTTTTGATTAGTTGTTTGAGAAATGTGGTGTGTTTGAGGAAATGGGAAAAAATGGGTTTCATGGTGCAGTGACGCACTTCCTGGTCACACAACGTTCTCTGTGCACCAAATGTGTAAAAATGTGCACATTATGGCAAAAATTATTCATCTTTAAATCTGGTTTTATTTGGAAGAAAATAAAATCGCTGTTCAATCCAGTTCAAATGAACACTGAAAGCTGTCACTGTTTTTTACTGAAGCCCTGTCAATGCATCACAGCTTTCCAGCTCAGAGGGTTATATGTAATAAAAAAACAATTCCTGTATCCACATCGTGATCCGTAACCTCACCCAATTTTAAAGGTGTGTGCTAATCCCTAACATGTGGTAAAAATGGCATGACAATCCGTCCACAGGTTCTTGAGTAATTTTGTCCACAGACAGAACGATAGAATGACAGCCAGACAGACATACACGACTGAAAACATTACCTCCTTGGCGGAGGTAAAATTAGATTAGTGTTGGATATATTYGACTACTCTGACTTAATTTCTGAAGATAGTTTTATTCTTTGATTATAACTCTATAAGGCCTTTGATTCTATAGAACATGATTTCATGTTTCACTCCCTAAAATAARTTGGATTTGGTAACTATTTCTGTATTGCTGTTAAAACTATATATACTAACTGTAACAGTTCCATAAAATTAAAACATGGTATGACCTCTAGATTTAATATAAAATGTGGYATCTGACTAGGCTGCCCTATATCTCCTTATCTCTTCTTATTGAGTGTGCAAATTGTCACAACCCAAATTGTTAATAGTGATATTCAAGGAATTTCAGTAGCCAATAGGGAAGTTATTATTAGCCAGRTTGSTGATGATACAACCTTATTCTTGAAGGATGCTAATCAAGTCTCTACTGCTTTAAATATTATTAAGACCTTTTCTGAAGCTTCTGGTTTATGGTTAAATATAAAATATGTGAACTATTAGACATTAAAGACTATGAGGCCAATTTCATTTGTAACATTAAGGTTAAAAATGAAGTTAATTATTTAGGCCTGAAAATTATCGAAAACCCTAAAATTACATCTTCTATTAATTTTACTACAATGATAGGAAGACCCCCCCCCNTAACTCAAGATCAGATTATACTGAAAAACTGGTCGGCACACAATGAAAATTGAAGGTTTAAAGAAGACCATTGATTTTGCCTGTGCAGAAATAAAAAGTATGAATGAAAAAATCTCCACCATAGAAAAGAACGCTGCTTCAGAGGAAAAATGCACAAATGAATGCCTGCAAAGAATCTGTGATCTGGAGAGATACTCCAGGCGATGGAACTTAAGACTCTGTGGAGTTACTGAGACAGAAAAGGAAGATGTACGAGCCAAAGTCAATGAGATCTGTCAAGATGTCCTACCAGAACAGAAGACAAAGCTAGCTGAATCCACTGCCTCGGCCACAAGCATTCATCTGATCCCAAGCCTAGAGGAATAATCTCACAGTTCTCCACACGTGTGTGCAGAGATGCTGTGTGGAAAGCAGCCAAGTTCTCTCGAGTGCTACATGGTAATGGTCTGAAGGTTGCTGAGTATCTCTCAAAAGAAGACAGAGAACACAGGAACAAACTGTGGCCACTGGTCGAGAAGGCCAGAAAAGAGGGTAAAACAGTACACTGTTTCAGAGGTCGTGCTTTTGTTAACGGCACTGAAATTAACCCATCTCCCAGCTGGTATAGCTCATCATTATCTTAGGTTGCATCTCCTTTATTCTTAAGTGAAGTAGCCTACTGCTCTATCTATTTTAAGGCTGGACACTAAAGGTATTGGAAGGAGCTTTTTGATGAAAGTTCTATGATGTTACTTAACTCTGGTTTTAAATTTATAACTCTGCAGCTATTGGTTCCCTGTAGATTTGTTTAACCCTTTATTCAAGTGGTTATTTCTTAATTAAGTTTTTAGTTACTATAGTTTCTCTTAATGCCAGCGGTTTGAGACAGAACTACAAGCGTAAAGCTTTATTTTTATTTGCTATACAGTTAAATACTGTATTGATTTTATTTTTCTCCAAGAATCAAACTTTTTACCAGATGACAAAATGTGCAGACCAGCTCTGTCAGGTGGTCCACCACATCTTCAGCCTGAGTCTGAGTCTGGAGAGGGTTCCTGATCTGTGGAAGACTTCCTGCATGGTTCCAGTGCCAAAGATCACACATCCCAGGGAGCCCAACCTCTACAGACCGGTGTCTCTGACTTCCTATCTGATGAACACCATGGAGAGGCTCATCCTGCACCATGTTCGTCCTGTGGTGAGCCCAGCACTGGACCCCCTGCAGTTCGCCTACCAGCCTGGCATCGGGGTGGAGGACGCTGTCATCTACCTGCAGCACAGATCTCTCTCTCTCTCTCACGTAGAGCCAACAGGAAACAGTGTGTGAGTCATGTTCTTTGATTTCTCCAGTGCTTTCAACACTATCCASCCTGCTCTGCTGAGAGGGAAGCTGGAGGGAGCCGGAGTGGATGGGCAGCTGAAAGCATGGACCATCGACTACCTCACCAGCAGACCACAGTATGTGAGGCTCCACAACTGTGTGTCTGATGTGGTAATCTGCAGCACGGGGGCACCACAGGGCACTGTCCTCTCACCCTTTCTGTTCAGTCTGTACTCGTCAGACTTCAGGTACAACTCAGACCACTGCCACCTTCAGAAGTTCTCGAATGATACGGCCATCACTGGATGCGTATCAGACGGGAATGATGAGGAATACAGGGGGGTCATCAGTGACTTTGTTGGCTGGTGTGAGACCAGCGCTCTCCAAATCAATGCCAGCAAGACGAAGGAGATGGCCATAGACCTCAAGAGAAAGCACGGTGAACATCCAGGGAAAAGACATTGAGACAGTGGACTCTTACAAGTACCTGGGTTTTCACCTCAACAACAAGCTGGACTTGTCTATGAACACAGACGTCTTGTATAAGAAAGGCCAGAGTCGACTCCACTTGCTGAGGAGTCTGAGGTTCTTCGGTGTCTGCAGGACTCTGT